GACGAGCAAGAGGAGGAAAGCATTTTCGAAAGCGGTAGCTCCTGAGGAGAAAAAGGAATTACAATAGCTTCTCCTCTGGAGTCTTAGAGAGAAAAATGGACACGGCACTAACAGTTATGTACAGGAAAGGGGCCTTTTTGCTCCCCATCACCACGGAACTGGGAAATACAAAGTCCACCCTTCAATGAACAACATCCGGGTTCCTGTGGTTTGGGATGTGGTTCCTGGCTTTGCCTGCTGTTTAATGACAAGCACTGGTTCTTTCACGGCCAGGCCATCCGTGGTTAGCAGCAGGTGCCTCTCTCTCTCTTAGGAACTGGAAAGGGCCCTTGAAGACAAATGGGTCCTCGGTGTCAGGGAGATACAAGCATGCAGAAGAAACCGAGACTCCGAGAAAATGTTGCTTAGAAACACCTTCTTTGACCAGTCTTGTTCCACATGGCATAGAAATGGAGTGCTATCATGCACCCCCAGTGTGTGTTTCCTTCGCTCCTCTGCTCCCTGCCAGCATCAGAAATTAAGGCCATCTCTGGATTGTTTGCTAGCCTGAAAGCTTACATCCAAGAGCGGGCCATTCACTCTGCCTGGATTCAGTAAGTTGGTTCCAGCCCTGGATTTGGACATGCTCCCTGACTTCTGACTTCTCTGTTCTGACATACAAACTTAGGTGAACCTGTAGCTGACCATCCATGAGCTTCCACGGTCATCTCAGTGCCTGGTAAAAGCCGGGGAGAGGGGACAAGCATTTCTAGTAGTCTTGTGGGCCGATTCTCATACTCCTGTAGCTTCTATTTATAATGCAGAGAAAAGGTACGCCCTTGTAAACTTCCAACAAATGTGATGTGAAGGAAGGTCAAGTCTATCAGTCCTTTTCAGGAGAATAGGGGAAAGATAATTCTTTGGAGGAGCTTGTGTTTTGTTTCCCAATAATTGCTGGGTTTGTATGTACAGAAATGTGTTGTTAATCTCAACAGCTTCCCCTCTTCCCCATATATCTAACATCATGATCATGATGTAGACATTTGATTAGCTGTTAGTGACTAAGCCGTAGAATTGGATTCTTCACCGAATTCTATCATCTGATTCCTTTCACCAGTTCAAAGTGGCCTTGTGCTCAAGCTCAGTAAAATCTGGAGCTGAGATTTTACTTTTTAGATTAGTTAGCTAGAAAAAATAGGTAGGGTTGTTTAAAGTTACTGTTGAAAACTTTAAAATGTCTGTGAACAACTTTGTATTGTCTGTCTACATGTTAAATGACTATGCTTCTCCTAGGTTAAGGATGAAATCAGACAGGATTCAAAAGAGGAATCAATCATACATTGCTAAAATTTGGATATTTTTTCCCCTTTAACATATTGAATCTATTCGAAGTGTGTGTGTGATCTGTTAGGTCCTTACACAAGTGAATGAAGCCACTGCCCTGGGTTCCTAAAGCCCAGTCCTCCCTGATTCATATGTTCATCATTTCCCTGGTGCCTCCCCACCCAAGGAGAGCCAGCCAGCTTAGTTCGTTGTTCAAGTCTGTCTGTGAATAAGCCCTCGCCACCCTCTCAGCATTATTTCTTACTGTTCCATAGCTTAATCATGCGTACATCATAAGCTCCTTTCAAACTAGCTTCTTGCTTTCCCGTGCAGGAGGCACAGTACACATTATTAGTCAGAGACCGCTGTCAGCCCATCTCTGCCTTACTCATGCTGATTCTCCACTTGGCAAACCTTTCCCCCATTTCTACCTGGGGGAAATGTTCTGCCCATTCCACAGGGCTCCATGCAAGGACTACATTCTCTATCGTGTTTCCCAATGGAAGGAGGTCTTTTCTGTATTTGAACTCTTGTTGAACATTGTAACTCCCTCATCTTACGTGTCACCTTCTCTATGGTTTTTATTGATATATATTATATGTCCTGGTTCTCCCATGTCTTAGACCATAGCACAGATAAGGACTCCACAAAACGTTCTTGAATAGGTGATATTTCCTTTTCCTTTCATCTGTCCATTCAGCCATCCATCTGATCATCAGATACTTTACTGAACACCCACTCTATGCCAGGCACGGGGAGCTGGCAAAATCTAAGCCTGGAGCTTGTATGTGGGTTTCAATGATCTATGCTATTCTCTCATGGGGAAAGATTTGTTCTTATCATGCAGGAATATTTTGTCTTGTCCTTTCCAACAATTTCAGTGTTTTTCAAGTTGCTACCTCATTGGCAAATTTAGCAATGCATGTCAAGATTTTGCATTTGTGCACTGAACACACTCAAGCCTCGTCTTATCCTTTCTATTTCTGTTTTTATTTACCCAAGCTCCTCGCTTATTTTTGCATTATATGTTTTTTAATAGCCACCTTGAAATCCTTCTGAAAGGAAGCAGGGTACCAATAAATTGAATACAATTACAAAAAAGTTCATAATTGCCTTCACACTACTAATTCACACAATGAAACCTTCCTGGAAAAGCTCCTGCAGGAGAGAAGAATTCAATAAATTGTAGGTCTTCCTTGGACCCATTCAAGAAGGCTAAGTTTCTACGGTAATTATAAGGTGATCTTACTTTTAACGTGATTCCACTAACGCGGTATTGAGAAAATTGCTAGGAAACACTAATATAATCATTCTAGTAATTGACGGTATTTGAAACTACATTGTGAAACCTGGGACCATTTCACAGAGGCTGGGAAACATGAACAAAAACATGTCAATTTACTTAAAAAAAACTTTCTCTGTCATACTAATTTTTTTTAAACTATGATTGCTAGGGAGATGACTAACTTTAGAGAAATAAAGAGACCAAGATTATAGAAAGGAGATACAACCTGGGAGAAATGTCTCCAGAACCAGAAGAGTTCATAGAGTCTTTGCAAAATCAATACCAACGGTGTTCACTCCGTATTCTCTCTCCTCATGCTACAGAAATTCCATACATCTGCCAGCAAGCTATCATAACCTTAACACTTAACACTCACTACTGAAAGGGAGCTCTTTCAGCCACGTTAAGATTTTGTTGTTTTACACCCATATTTCTTTTTGGACATTTTTAGTGAATATAGCCCCCCCACCCCGCCATCTCTCTGGATATTTCAGGCTTCACACGTTGTATTTAGTTTAGGCAGACTTGTTGAGTCTCAAAACTAGTTCAAAAGTTTGTATTCACAAAAAACTACCGATAATTTGTCCATAGTTCATCCCCAAGGGTGTGTTTCACAGACCAGGCACTTTATCTTTAGGGGTGAGTTTAGGGAAGAAAAAAACATGGTGTTGCCACGCGTTACATTGACAAAATGACCCCAGGAAACCAGAATTCTAAACAATTCATACAGAAGAATGGAAAAGAAGTTCTAGAAAATAGGCGTTACTTGAATTTACCGGCATTCATCGGCCATAGCTGCAATATGCAATTTACTTAAAAGCATGTTTAAAAAAAAACCAAAAAACTAGTTTCTATTGACCTTCTATTTTATTCTATATTAAAGCCCAGGGCATCAGCCAGGAAGACTTGTCAGGCTTGGTGGTTTTATCTGCGTTTGTCAGATGCCAGTGCTGCTCATTCCCTGCCCTGGGAGCCCCCAAGGGCAGAATATTATACTTTGTTCTATTCCCATTGCTTCGCACTTGATACAGCCTCAGTCACTGTTTACTGAGTGAAAAAATGGACTTCTGCCTCCTGTCTGTAATCCTAAGGTATGCCAAGATGGCACGAACCTCAACCTTTCAACAAAGAATAGATTTCACATTAGTCTATGTAGTCTAGAAAACTTTTGGCATAACGCTAGATCTGGGAGAGAGAGGTCAAGAAATCTGCTATTTTGCCCCCCTTTCAGGAAGCCCCCATAAAGACTGTAGCTTGATTGTCACCGTGCCTTTGAGTTCACGTGTGCAAGACTGCGGGCTGCCGCAGGAATTCCGGGGACCCAGGAGTAGAACTGATAAGCCGCGTGTTTTTTTCCTGCCACACATTCTCTCATCTAGGTTATTTAGGAGAAAATTCCTTTAAGAGCCCCTCTTAGGGCCCGATGCAGACCTTACCAGGTCGGCATTTTTCTGGGCTTCAGTGAACCTGCTCTGGGAAAAACAGACAAAATATGTATCTAAAAGCAAGCTACTCGTATCTGAGAGTAAGGTTCAGAAGTGAAATGTGATCTCTTGGAATGCCATTACCTCACAAGCCGAGCTGCAACAGTTCTGTTTTCAGAGAAGCCCCCGCGGCTCATGGCTCACGCGGTGGCAAATCTCAACAAACTACGCAATTTATAATTTTGGAAGTCTGAAATAGAATTTGCAATGTGATTGCAGCGGCTGGGTCACTTCTCCTTGTAAAGATTTTTATCCGATTAGAAAACAAACGGCCTACTTCTTCAAGGCATATTAATGCCATGAAATCATGCTCCGACTTTGCCCCCTTTCATTGTATCAGCAGGAGCCGAGAGGCTGGTAAAAGAAAAGGTATGACAGAGAGTTAATTTCTGCCAGTGCCCTTCTGGCCTTCACCGCAAGAGATGGTTAGCTGATTTTTAAAATTTTTTTTTTTCTGGGCATTCAAGTAGTGCTTTGATGGTGCTTCTTACCACATTGTTGGGTCTGCAAGGCTGCCTTAGGGTAGCTCTCAGACCTCTGGGGGAAACGGTCTCAGAGTCCCTAACCTTTGCTGGATCCTAAAGTGAGAGTTTGGAGATTGGGAGAACCTTGGTGAATAAAAAGAAGCCTGTGTCTTCTCCATGAATTCGTTTTCGTGAGATTTCAGACCGAGCGTTTCTTGCTGAGAAAGTGCCCAGGTCCACCTGCCCACACCCACACCCGCCTGTTTTGGCACATCTCCAGGAGGAGCTGCAGCCTCAGGGTGGCTCCCAAAGTGAGCCCCTTGCTTCTGGGGTCTCCATAAGAAGCAAAAAGATTCAACCAGCAAAGCAAAGGACTAGGAAACACTTGCTGCCATCAGCTCTGATGGTCACACCTAAGACAGAATTTCTTGCAGCCTCTGGTTTAGCTTCTTCTTCTTTTTTTTTTTTTTTAAACAAGGGGATCAGTGATGAAACCCAGGTTAAACTCTTCGACAGAACTATCCGGAAGAGCAAAACTAGCAAATGACAGGCTATGACTGGGGACTGACTCTGGGGAAGGCTGGATTTTTGAAATGAGAGCCAAAAATGTTTTCATCCTCTAGCCCACGGTTTAAGTTACTGAAAAGGAATCACCACCGTTTCTACACGTTTCTTGTGTGTTTACTCCTACTCGGGAGAGTAATCTAACTCATCATTTGCAATCAGGGCCTCTGAGTTCTGTTTGTGTTTGCTTTTGCTCTTCGCTTTGCTACTTGTCCGGGTGTTGGCCTTGGCATCTGACATCTGCTGGTAATAGAAGCCTTTGTCTTCCCCCGGCCCGCCCCAGTTCTCCTGGCTCTCGCCTTCCGTGGCGTAGGAGAAGCCCTCCTCCACCGAGAAGGGGTCGTCCACGTCGTAGCGCTGGTACGTGCTCTGGTGCAGGGCTTCTTCGCGCGCGCTGATTTCCAGGGTGCTGTTCCAGATGCCGTACCCGAAGTAAATGAGCATACCTGCAGGGAGGGAGAGGCACAGGCCCGTAAGCAGTTGCTCTGGGGATCCACGGGACCAGCGGGGCGGGGCAGGGGGTGCTCAGTGGTGAAAGCGGAGTCCGCGGTGGATGTGTTTTCTTTGGTCTACATGGTGTCTGGAAGAGACTCGAGCTAAGTGTCATTTAAAAAAACTGGGCTGTCTGGCGTGAAGCAACCCGTATTTACAGCTTCCCCTAAAAAAGTCAGAGGGTCTCACGACCCTACTCCCACAGCCCTATATGGCAGGTGTGATGGGAGGCGAGCTCTAGCTGCCTCTTTAGACAGAATGTGGACTCTTTAGTCACCTCTGTCCCCACCTCCCTGTATCACTACACTCATGCAGGTGCCAACTAGGAATTTGCATTTTCCGCCCCTACTTAAATATTTGTGAATCACCCACAGTGTCTCCCCAACCTTCTTGTAGCGTTTTATTACCCCACGCCCCGGTTAGGGACGCCATCTTTTATCTCCCCACCCAGCAGTGCACATATACTGCCCCATGGTTTACTTCGCCATTTTTCACTCACCAAAGGAGTATTGTATCACTGCCATTCAGAGCTGTTCGCTCTCAAAGGGTCTGCTGCCTGCCACTGTTAGGGCCCTTGGAACGCCTACTGTGTGATTATCTGCCCAGGGTGCTTCTATTTTGAGACTCTGCGAAAAACTGGCACTTAGTCTTTGTTGAATGAATGAATGAATGAATGAGAACTTCTGATGAGCATGAAATTTCCAGTGCAACCTCCTTAGCTGATGTCATTCCAGGCCAAGAGAAGAAACTTGTTTTCCTAGGCAATATGGAACATTAATTAGGGTTAATGTTTCATTTCTATTATAATTTTTCTGTAATTAAGTATAAAAATAGTTTGAGGGGCGCTTGGGTGGGGCAGTCCATTAAACATCCAGCTCTTGGTTTCCACTTGGATGCTGATCTCAGGGTCCACTCAGCTTGGAGTCTGCTTGGGATTCTCTCTGCTTCTCCCTCTGCCCCACTGCTCATGCTCTCTTTCTCTCTCTCAAAATAAATAAATAAATAAATATTAAAAAATTGTTCGACAACCCCCATTTTCTATCTTGAAAAGCTCACGGAGGCTCAGAGTTTGAAATAGCTGAGACTCATAGCCTTGGGGGGGTCATAGGGCATGATGATTAAGAGTGTGAGCCCTGGGTTCAAATCCTGCCTCCATCACTATTAGCCATGTAACTCTGGACCAGTTACTTAGCTTCTTTGTGCCTCATTTTCTCTTCATGATAGTCACTGCACCTATGACATGGGGTTGCCATGAGGATGAAATGGGTAAGCAGTGCTTTCTCTCTGACTTCAGCTGGAGGGCCACCTGGGGAGTTTTTGAACCGCCCTTACACCTAAGCCCCACCCTTAGAGATTCTAATTTAATGGGTCTGCCGTGTGATCAAAGCATAGGTATGGTTATTTTTTTTTTCTCTTCATTATATCTTTTATTTTTTAAATTAACATATAATGTATTATTTGCCCCAGGGGTACAGGTCTGTGAATCATCAGTCTTACACAGTTCACAGCACTCACAATAGCACATACCCTCCCCAATGTCCATCACCCAGCCACCCTATCCCTACCCCCCGACCCCCCAGCAGCCCTCGGTTTGTTTCCTGGGATTAGGAGTCTCTTATGGTTTGTCTCCCTCCTGATCCTATCTTGTTTCATTTTTTCCCTCCCTAACCCCCATGACCCCCCCCCCTCAAATTCCTCATATCAGAGAGATCATATCAGAGAGACATAATTGTCTTTCTCTGATCGACTTATTTTGCTTAGCATGGGTATGTTTTAAAGTTTCACAGGTGAGTCCAATGGGCAGCCAAGACTGGGACTCCTTCAGACCAGGAGCATAAAGCTCCTGAGACCTGTACTCTGTTGCCTACACTGGCCATATTAGGGCTTGGCCACTGGATGCCACTCAGTTACACAACTCCCTTCCAAACCCCAGAATCCCTCTTCTGAGTGGCACCCATTCCTTTGACTTTGCTAACCCTGCAGGCATCTGCAGGGCTGTTTGCTCAGAACCACAAGGTCACGTTCTGTTCTGTTTTCCTCTTTGGTGCCTGAAAAATCCTGCTCCTTTTGAATTTGAAGTGGGTCTTTTTCAACTTGGATTTCTCCCTCTCTGTTTCAAATGACTTTTCTCCTTACCCCCTGCCCCATCCCCCAGTGAAATCAACTTTCCAGGAGCCAAAGAAAGCAGAGATTTATAGTCCTAATTGGTAATAAATCCTAGAGTTAATCATTTGCAGATGTAGCTACTCTCAAATAGCGACTTCATTTTTCTGAACATGGATCTTTACTCTTTCTTGTGTGTGTGGGGGGGTGGGGGGGGGGAGTAGCCATGGGCGATAGTTATTACCCTTGTGTAGGACAAGGCATCAAGTTAAGGTCCCTTCTAAAAGGGACAGTATGTTCCTGGTTGGAGAATGCCTCTGTTGGAAGCGTGTCTGAGACCTGAGAATAAATTTCAGGAGACCAGGTGGGATCAACAGGCACACAGCTCTTTTTGCCCATTTTTGCTGTTTTGCTATCTTTTCTCGTAGGCATTGAGGCAGGGGTCGAATCCTGCCTCCGATTCCTGCTTTGTCTCTATTATATCAATTCTTTCCATCTGATCCCCTTCTCAGACCCTATTTATAAGTGAGTTATTTCCTTACTGAACCTAATACCCTTTCTTTTCTTTCGCCTTTGCCTCTCAGCTCTCTGCTCTGCCATCACACAGGTCGTCATTCCACATGGTCTGACATCTATTCTGACAGATCTTCCCCTGCCCCACCAGGTGTGGTGGTGTCAGGTAGACTGATTTATGGAAATTCTCTAAGAGCCTCATAGAATCCTAGATATTTAGAGTTGGAAAGAGTCTCTAGATCTGTTTCAGTACCTTCATTTTACAAAAAAAGAAGCAGGCTGAGGGCCGAAACAGCATTCGCATGGAGAGAGAGAAGAGTCTTGTAAGCCCAGTCCTTCACACCTGCGCTCCGCCGGCCGGCTTACCGACTATGCTTATCACAGTATGCACTGAGTAAGGGGTTATGGCTACATTCGTTCTTTGTTCTTTGGGAATGATGGCGTCCGGAGGAACATGTGTGCTCCTGAATGCACTGACTATGATTACTTTGAAAAAGCAACCCATGGAAATCTGTCGTGTAAGTATTTATGGGCCTTTTAATGTTTGCTCTGAGCCTCCTATAATTTCAAAGGTGTTATTTTGTCTTTACAAATATATTTCGGGGCGCCCAGGGGGCGCAGTTGACTGAGCGTCTGACTCTGGTTTTGGCTCAGGTCATGATCTCAGGGTCGGGGGGATGGAGCCCGGCGTCGGGCTCCGTGCTCAGTGGGGAGCCTGCCTGAGTCTCTCCCTCTGCCTCTCTCCACCATGCTCTCTTTCTCTCGATCTCAAGTAAATAAATTAAAAAAAAAAAAAAATATATATATATATATTTCAAACACGAGTGCTCTGAACCAAGAAGTGACTGTGTGCACGCAGCCTGGTGGAAGCCACGCAGCCAACGGTCAGCCCGGGCAAAGGACTGGCATTCTGCCTGACACTTCTTGTTGGCCCTTGAGTAAGTTCAAGGAAAGTGGTGTAAGGCACCAAGGATTGGAGAAAAGGCAAAATGGAGGGGCACAAAGCAGCAGAGGGGATCAAATGAAGTGAGGGAGGGAGGGTGGAAGGGAGGTAGAGAGAGTGAGGAGACAAGCATGGACGACCATCTGTCACACATAAACAAAGGCTTTGTGTCGGAGGAGTAAACAGAGCTGCTAAAAGCCTCCTGTGTAGCAGCAGGGTGTTTTGTTTCTGCTCCTTTTTTTTTTTTTCTTTCTTCAGTTGGCTTAGAAAACTAAGCATGAGGTAGTTTCTGAAAAATCTGTGGGGATTCTGGGAATTCTGAATCATCTAAACCGAACTTCACACAACACTTCTGGGTGCTGAGGTCCTCATGATGCGTGATTTATGTTGTATCTTTCTCCCAAGGAGTTCAAAACATTATACACGTTATCTTGTTTAGATTCCTTGCAGCCTGTTTGGGAATGTGCATGTGAGTGTGAGTGTGAGAGTGTGTGAGTGTGTGTGTGGGGGCAGGGAGTGGGGAGGTTAGGATTACATACGTCTCAGAGACAGGAAATGGGGGCATAGGACAAAATAAGATTTTCCACAGCAACACGGATGGTGTTGGGACTGTGAGTTCTTAGGGGCTCCCCGGGTCCCCATCCAGGGTGTATCTCACCTACCAGGGGTGGCCATGGGGGATAGACTGATTGAAAACAATTTGCTTGGATTTTTAGTTTGAAGAATTCCAAACGTGTACCAAAGTGGAGAGAGTAGTATAAAGAAGCTCAAATACTCATCACTAGCTTCCTCCTGACACCCACCCCACTGAGTCCTTGTTTTTAGATCATTTGGAAACAAATCCTTTCCATCCTATGCTCCATCTGTAAATAATTAAGTATGTATCTTTAAAATAGACTTAAAAACTTAGTATCATTATCACATCTAAACACTGATAATAATTCCTTAATAACTTCTGGTATCCAGAATTATTGAAATTTCCATGAATTATTAAGCACGTAGGGAAAAATTCTTCACTTTATGAGACTATAGATTCACGCCAATGATGCTATTACTGCTTCATATAGTTTTTGGGCACTGTCATTTGTCACTGGGACGGGCATCATGTTCTTTCATAAACCCTTACAGATGGCAAAGTTTTACTTTTCAGATAGGATTTGCTTTCCGCATAAGCAGAAGTCATTTGGAACCAAGCCTCAAGAATGAGAAGGCTAACTGATATTTGCATATTTAATCCTGCTGTTCCTCAAAAACTCAGCTCCGTTGCTTTGTAGTTCTACATCTTCTAGCTCTAATACATGAAAGGCACGTGTGGTGTTAAAAATCAGAAGGGAATTAGCTTTTGTGTTGTAGGGGGTCTTGGAGATCCTCCAGCTGGGCTGGAGTTATTTTTTT